TTTTTCAGACATTTTTAATGAGACATATCTCTTCTAAATTGTTGTCCTGCCCTAAAAAATGTTTTGGTAAAAAAGGCACTGGGGGCTTCATTATCACAGATTTTCTTACGCAATGAGCTCAGTTTACAAGTAAATTTCTGACTGCCAGCTGCACAAACTCAGCCTGAGTTCTGGATTCCTTCCACGTCATGCATCACTACCAGTAATAAATATCCGGTATGCCAGAATATGCCCTCCGTGGCATCTGTGCAGTCCCAGTGCCATCCACAAATTTGCACAGGTGTTGCTGGGGGCAGACGTTCAAATCAACAGGGTTACACACAAGTAGCTGGGCATCATCTGCCAAACAGAACTACTAGCACTGCAGTGATGTGTGAGATGGAAGGGACCCAGTTCGACTTGCGGCACCTGAGACAGGTCTCTGTCTCACAGCTGGGAAGGAAAGAATATATTTTTATTTACAAATAATTATTCTGAAAGGGTTGCAATAAAAGGGGAAAATCTCCAAGCTGTTTTTATTCCATGTTTAGATACCAAGTGGTTTTTCAGTGTTTAGTCACAAGGAAAGTGATTGGAATTTTTTTTACTAGGTAGCACTTTGCAATCAGGGTGATATTATGAAACACAGTAACTGATACATCTTGGCGCCTTGAAGTATCCTCAGTGTCCTGAGATGAGCAGGTTATGGCTAAGGAGAAAAAATCCCGTTGTCCCAGTGAAACAGAGCTGTGCTCTCCCAAAGCTCCTGGCCACAGCGGAGGGCTGCAGAGCTGCAGGAGCCAGGGAACCACCCCCAGCACAGCCCTCACCACCACTCACAGATACAGGTACTGTCGGCAAAATAAAGATTTTGGCACACAAGATTAAGCACAGGTAAGAAACTTTGTCTATATGCTGCTTAAAAATTGATGTAATTGGAGTTTTGCTGCATTCTGTCTGAACTGGTTTGTCTTCTCAAGCCATCATTCTGTTTCAGTAAAATCAGCGCTCTTCACTTCTCCCCATGAAACTCACTTGTTGTCAGTTCTAGGTGCCTAAAAGGTTTTATTTTCAAAACAAAGCCTTTTGAAAACCACATTCTTAGCCAACCTCAACTTGAAGCTGCTTGTGGTAGCAAGCACACAGTGTCTGTGAGAGGGCAGGGGACACCACCTTCCCAGCAGTGACATGGAAGTCAATTTTTTTCATGTGAATTAGCAGCTTAAGAGAACAAAAAAACTGCAAGGAAGGTAATATTCACTAGCTCGTAAAAAGCATAGCTGGGACATCTTTTTCACTACTTTATCTTCTGTTAGCTAACATGAGGCAAAATCATAGATTATTTTTTCCTCATGAATACAAGATGTGAGCAGCTGAAGGCACTTAGGTTTATTCCAGAAAAGATCCACAGGACAAGCATTTGTGATCTCACCTTGCTGTAGCCCCCTCTGCTCAGAACACATCATATGTTTCTTGTTCAAACAAAACTTTCTACATACTGTAATTCTAATTTTTCTCCACTTCGTAATTCAGTTCCTACAGTTTGTGACTGAAACCACTTCCCACACCTTTCAGGAGATAACCCCAGTTTTTTGCATGTTTCTCCATGGAAAGATGCTTTGTGTTCTCCAGAAAGAAATCTGTAACACAATGAAACTTCAGAACAGACAAAACATATAACATAACATAAAATGGAACACTGGGTTTGCTGGAGCCAATAGTGTTTACCTTCATACTTAGAAGTGCAAAAACCCACCTAACCTCAGAAGCACTTATTTTTCCAATCGGTGCATGTATTTGGCAGCAGGGCCACGACAAGGGGAGGCTGTGTGAGGTTGCCATATAGAGAGAAGACAGTGTGTGGTGATGGAGCATCTACTTTCACTAGGACAGTTTCTCCAACAGCAGATACATTTTGGCCACATCTAATCCTAGTTTTGGTGGTCGGTGTCTTGCACGAGTGGGACCGAGGCAGTCGTGTGCATGTTAAGGACAGGAGAGCCTCACTTTGCTGAGCACTGAGGAGATGTGAGATGTGAGCTGTGTCGGGCACTGCGCTCGGGACAACAAATCCTCCCCAAAACGCTGCTCCAGGGAGCTCGGCGAAGACGCAGATGTGCGGAAATCGCCTCCATCCAGCAGCGCAGGCATTGAGCGCTCCAGCGCATCCTGTTTTACCTGTTTTCTCCCTCTTTCTGGGGTAGMCCAGCCTGCTATTGACCTAGATAATGGAAAGATGATTATTCATTTGAATTTCAAAAGAAAAGTAGTGGGCTGTTAGCTCCGACGGCTCCTCTCTGATAGGAATACACAGGCATACAATTACCGAGCTGCTTTTACATGAGTAAATTACTTCATTTTAACAGTAACATCTACTTATTCTGATACAGGTTTTAATCATATTTCTAAAATTCTCAAGATAACTATTTTCTTCAGCGTGGCTATTATTTATCAGTTTGTTTCCAGCTTCATTATTTTGCTAGTACCACACTTCAAACTAAAGAAAAAAAAAAAAAAAAAAAAAANNNCAGAATTGAACATTAACAAGCAGCAGCAAACAGTAATGCTGTTCATATTTAAAAGATCACTTTGAGAAAATTTGAAATGTTGCCAACACACAACAGAAAATGAGATATGCTACAAAAATGGGAGAATGGGATTTCCTGTAGTTATGAGATCCTCACAGCATTAATATTTTTCTTCACAAGGGACACAGGTGAAGGAGAAAAAATCCCAGCTAAATTATGTTGTAATGACAGCATTAAGGGTATGGGACTTCCTTGGCCTTCAAATACAGTGAAGCTTTCTTTATTATTTATATTTTTTAATGATCTTTGTCAATCTTACAGTGTTAAACATCAGGTTCATTCGTCCTGGCAGATGATTTCCAGACATTAAAAAATTCTTATCTWCATTGCTTCTAAGGCTTGGAAACAAATGAAAAATTTCCAAAATACTTCATGTCTCTTGGAAAATGCTGATTCAACACAACACAGGTATAAGAAAATGCATTGTTTTGATTCTTTCCATAGAAAATTGAAGAAACATTTCATCTTATCAGCTTGAATTTCATGCAATTATATGACATAATGAAATCTCCCATAAAAGCTGAAACAGCGAGAACAAATTAAAACATATTAAAACCATCAAAACAGCCTAAACGCATTGTTTTGGCGTGCTTCGCTTTGCAGAACTATTCCAAGGACTGCTTTTATTTCTATCTGGATTTAAAACACATGTAAAGATCCCAGGACTTCCTACAGGAGCGCATTTTTTTTTGTAATCTGAGTTTCTCCCATTTACAGGCTAATATAACTATAAATATATATATATATAAAATAAATATATATATATGTAAATACTAACAAAATGATTATCTGAGCCTCTTGTTACCCCTCTTGGTATCATTTGGTAGCCAGCAGAGCCGTGTCAGCAGTAAAGCTGTCGTCCCCAGGGCCGGCAGCCAGTTCTGCATCTCCGGGAACTCCCTAGGGATTCCCATCCATGCTGGGGCTATGGAAGCGCGTCCCAATCCACACTGCACAGTTTGCGGTGTCCTGACTCAGGACACCTTTTCCAGGCTAGCGGGCAAGAAGGAGATGAATGAGGCTCCCCCTCYCCCCAAAGGTGCCCGCCATGGCCCCCTCTCCTCCCACAGCTTCCCTAAATCATGATGTTTTGCAAGGCTCCATCTCGGAGCGCTCGAGGAGAGGCAGAGGGAAGAGGCCTGGCGAAACGAGAGCCAAGAGGTGGCCAAACCCCGGCCTCGACGGCGGCCGAACCCCGGCCTCGACCAGTTCACCTCCTCGCCGCTCTCGGCGTCCTGGCAAGCGGGGCCACGGCTGGCAGCCCCAGCGCGTCCACAGAGCGGCACGAGGAGGTGCTTCCAGCCCCCCGACAGCAGCTCTGGTCGCGCTGCAGCCGCTCACGCGGCATCGCGCTCACGTCACCCCCACGCAGCAGTTCCGAGGTGCTCTGAGGAGACCCAACCCCTGTGCGGAGGTACCGCGGACCGGCTGCCGGCTCCTCCTGCCCTGCCACCCGGCACCGCTCACCAGGCTCCTGCTGGGGGCTTTAATTAAATTAACAAATTAAACGAAGGCACTGGGCTAGCTGCGGGAGAACTTGTTCTGAAAACACACTCTGCAAGGTGAAACCCGCCTTCCCAACGCGTTGTGCAGAGCGGGGACGTGCTCGGCGCGGTGGCTGCTGAAGGGCGAGTCCCGCCGCTTTCCGCGGTGGCGGCGCCGGGGAAGGATCCTGCAAAACACGCAAATACAACGAAAGGAGGCCGCGGAGCCCGGCGCCTCCCGCGAGTTTTCACACCTCGCGCGGCGGGTGCGCGACGCGCCCCGGGGCCGCTGCGGGGCCGCCCCGCGAAGCCGCC